CAGCTGCATGGGTGTGCACGCCCGGGTGCACCTCACCTGCGTGTGGTGCAGGCATGTGCATCCCCCACCTGGGTGTGTGTCTGTGTGCGTGCACCTCAGCTGCGCACGTGTGCATGCATACGCATTTTCTCTCACCTGTGTGTGTGTACATGCATGTGTATGTGTGTGTGTGCAAACTGCTCGGCCCTGCCCTGCCTGCTCGTGTCTGACCTTGGGCTCTGCTGTGGCGAAACCCGGGTGTTTTCTGCCAGGCACGAAGCTGGGGAGTGGGGGAGGCCATTAGCCACCTCCAGCCCTAGCAGCCTCCCTAATGGGCTGGAGAATGGTGATTAATGGTGGGAGGGGGGCAGCCGCAGGAGTTGTTCGAGAGCCCGATCAATCACCGCTGGCCCAGCACTAATGGCTGCCTGGCAGGGACCGGGCGGCGCTCACCCCGCATCTCCTTGCCAGGAGGGGAGGGCTGGACACGAAGGGCAGAGGGGGCATTTCCCAGTGCCCAGGGAGCCCCCGGGCACGGGGTGAGGAGCCTGGGGCTGGAGCCCAGAGCCGGCACTGCCTTGGGGGAAGCCGATGCCAAGGACTTTGGCAGCCTCCTCCCTGCCCCGCTGGGCACACGCCTGCCCGCCCCCGCCCCCGCCTGGCACGCGGTCCCTCCTCCACCTGGCGCTCACCTGCCCGCCTGCTTCCTTGCCCCTGCCTGCCATGTACCTGCCGCTCGGCCTTCCCCTCCCTGCCGGGCATGCACCTGCCCGCCCTCTCCCCATGGCCCCCACCCTGCGCACGCCCCTGCCCCAGGCCTGCTCCTTGCTCCGTCCTGCTTCCCAGGCTGGAGAAGCCGCCCCGGGCCTGGCCGGTCCCTCGGCACAGCTCTGCTCTCAGCACCTCTTCCAGACCCAGCGCTAATGGGTAGGAAAAGGTCCGTGCCCTGGGGCAGGTGTGGGGCCGGGCCGGGCAGCGCTGGGGAGCCCGGGATGAACTCGCTGCCCCAGGTAGGGGGGAGAGACTCCCTGCTCCCCTCCGGCTATCCCTCTGCAGCAGACCTGCATCCACGCCAGCAGGACGGCCCCGCTTTCCTGCGGCCCCTGCAAAGAGACAAAGCCAGGTGCAGATTCCCCACCCCCCAGCACTCGTGGGACGCTGGCCACCAGAAATAGCACCGCTCCTGGCACCAGGGATGTACCCATGGAGCTGGGAGCCCCGGCTGCAGACCTCTCCCGTGAGCGGAGCTGGGCAGGTCAGGGCGGCGCATGGGACGGCGGCCAGGCCTGGCCGGGAGCCCTGCTGAGCCGAGCTGCACCCATTAGCCAGGGACACGGATGGGCTGTGACAGCCCGGCAGGCTCATTTGCTTCCCTGGCACCAGCTCAAAACGGCAGGGAGAGGCAAGGCTGGCGCCAGGCTCAGCCTCCCCCACGGGGTGCTGCATCAGGTGGCCGGGCCCCTCCGATCGGGGACCTGACGCCCCGTGGCTCGGAGGCCGAGGAAGGGCATGAGGCCAGGACATTTTCCTGCTCCGGATGCCCCCTCCGGGCTCAGCCCGTTCACTCCCTGTGCCCCCAGCACCAGCAAATCAAACCCCCTTCGCCTCCCAGAGGGAGAGAGAGGGGGCAGGACCCGGGGCCGGCCGTGGCTCGGGGTGTCAGACCGGTCCCACAGCTGTCACCGCTGCTCCCAGCCCAGCCTGGTCCAGCCTTGGCCTTTCCCCCGGGGATCTTGCTCCTTGGGCTTTGTGGCTGGAGAGGGGATGAGCAGAGAGCAAGGCAGCCAGACTGGAAGGAGCCCAGCGGGGGCCAGAAAACCAGCCCGCAGGCCCAGCCAGCAACCACCCCGGCCCCTGAGAGCTGGAGGATGAGGAGAGGAGCCTGCCCGGAGGCACTGGCCCCTGCCAAGGGCCGCAGGCGGCTCCGGCCCGGCACGCGGGCCCCTCATCTAGGATTCAGAGCACGGCATGGCTCCGGGGCCCGTGGCCGGGAGCTCTGCCTGGGCTCGCATCGCGCCAGCCTGTGCGGCAGCACGCGGCGCAATCGCCTGCGATCTGCAGACAGGATATTTAAACCACCTCCTTTAATAACCAGGCGAGAACGCGGGGCCGGGGAAGGAGGCCGGGGGGGTCTTATCGTGCCTGGATCAGACGTGGCCCCGGCATGAGGGCTGGGAGGCTGGCTGCAGGCTGGGAGAAAGCTGCTTATTTTGGGGGGAAGGGAGAGGGGGAGGGAAGGGAAGGAGCCGGGTGGCAGGAGACGGATGAGCTTTTCCTTCCCGGCCTGCTGCTCCACCCGGCTCCCTGGATCTGCTGAGCTGCAGTTTGTGATGGGGGGGAGCGTGGCCAGGCCAAGGGCGGGGGCGCGGCTGTGCCCAGCCCCTCTCTGCCCCCAGCTCAGCCCCCTGGGGACTCACCAACGGCTCAGACAGACGAGAGCCCGCGGGGATGGGCTCTGGGACCCCAGCGTCCTGCACAAGACTGACCAGCCCGGCATGACCCCCAAGCCCCCGGGCCCCCTTGAGCCATGCTACGGCGCAGCCGGCTTGGCCCCCTCCCCGGCCTTTCATCTCGCTGCAGCAGCTTTGCAGAGCCCGGTGCTGGGGGCAGCGCCTTCTCCCGGGAAGCAGGGGGGTCGCTGGACACGCCGCGCAGCAGAGAGGGGGCCGGGCACAGCGGCAGGCCGGAGCTGCCTGCCCCTGGGGACACCCGCCGGGAGGCAGCCAACGTCAGCCACGACTGTCGGGAAATCAATGGCCGGGTTTCCCTTTGCTGTCTGCAAATTAGCGCGAGGAGCCGGGGCGGGCGGCGTAATTAAAGAGGGTCACGGTGCTTCTAACAGTGCCTAGGCGAGGGACACGCTCAGCGGTGCCTAATTAATCCAGCTCCAGCATCAGAAAAAACAAGCCTGGTGCTGGCCGACCGAGGCAGCTGCCCAGGAGAGCCGGGCTGGCAGGGCCTGCGGCGGTCGCAGCCAGCCCAGCCCCTGCCTGCAAAGCCGCCCTGTCCAAACCAGCCCCAAAGCGTCCTTGTCTGCCCACTGCCCCCATGCCCCCAGCCCTCCCCAGGGGAAACCAGGGCTGGCAGCGCCCTGCTGCTGCCCTGGAGACACCCCAGGCAGAGGTCGTGCCCCCCGCTGCAGAGGACGTCACCCCCCACCCCCTGCCCATCCCAATCTGAGCAAGGGGTACAATCCCTTCCTGACCCCAAATGCAGCAGCTTGAGCAGGGGCCAAGACCAGGCTTGAGGAGGCACCTGGCAAACACGCGCCACTCAACGCAGGGGTGGGCACGGCCGAGGCAGGGAGAGGTGCTGATTTCGGAGACCCGCCTAGCCGCACGGAAGCCGCCTGGTGCCACGGGAGCCCACGCTGCGAGGGAGCAAGGCTGCTGCGTCCTCGAGCCCTGGGTCTCTCCATGCCTTCCCCGGCCTCCGCGCTGCAGCCCCGTGCCGAAGGCCGGGCACTGGGCAGCCAGGGATGGTGCCCTTGGCACAGAGCTGCCCGACTCCCTGCATTTCACCGTTCCCTGGATTCGTGCCCCCAGGCTTGCTCGCTTCATGCCAGCAGCCCTTCCTCTCCCCCAGCTTGGGGCAGGGGGAGCCCTGGACCCCTGCACTGTGCAGGATGAGGCCTGGGTATCACTGCGGTGATGAGATGGATGAGGGGTGGGTTGCAGTGGCCAGCACAGATGTGGCTCTGCCTGCCCTGGGCCACGTGCCCGGACACACTGAAAACACGTGCCGGCGATGGACTGCTGCGTGTCCGTGGCCCCAGGGAGAAGGGCGACGAGCCGTGGCTCTGGGGTGCAGAGGTCTGTATCTGCGGGGTGCGGAGCGGGGCGGCTGCCTGGGCAGCAGGAAGGAGGGGTCTCCGCAGACATCCTGGGATACCAGGGGGATTTGAGCTGGACCTGGGGCCTTCCCCAGTGGCAGGAGGTCGGGGACTGGGGTCCCGCGGGGCCTGGGCTGGGGCACAAGCAGGGGCCTCTGCTCGGGCCTGCTCTAGCCCTGCCCCGTGGAGCTCAGCGCCCCGGCAGCTTCCCCACGCAGGGGAGCCCCACAGAGCGGCTTGCGGCTGTGCCAAGACGAGGGTAGACGACGTCTCTGCCTCTTGTATGAAAAATAATAAAGCGCAGCGGCAATTCCTTGCAGATCAGCGCACCTGCCAGGAGGCATTGCCGAGCCCGTCCATCAGTGCCCGACAGCCCCCTCCTTCCCCGGCTGGGTCCAACGTGACGGGACGAGGACTCGGCTCCTGGGGCTCGTCCTCCCCCGGGTCCCAAGGCGGCAGAGCTGAGCCTGGCACCAGCAGATGGAGGTGCCGTCCAGGTGGGAGCCGTGCCGGAGGGACACGCTACCCCGTGCCGCTGGAGCAGGGCGGGGGTAGGTGCTGGAGGCGCTGGGTGGGGCGGGTGGAGGCTTCCTCTGCAGACCCAGCGTGGACGGCACAAAGACCCGGAGCCCACGTCCAAGTCTTTCCGGGCCAGGGTGCGACACTGGCCCCACCTCCATCCCCACCGCTCTCAGCACTCAGACCTGGCAGGGTCCTTGTGCCCAGGCCCCGCACGAAGGCTGCCCCCAAGCCAGGCCTGCCCAGCACAGCCGGGGGATCCTCCTCGTGCACAGGGGAGGATCTCACCCCGCCTGCTCCGACGCCTGCCGTGCTCCCGGCTCCCTCTGCTCTGCTTGGCTGCCCTCCCTCCGCGTGGAAGCCCCCGGGGCCGCGGCGGCTCAGAGCACCACCCCGATGACACAGTGAACGGTGCCCGAACCAGGCCCCCGCCCAGCGACGGCCGCACAGACCCCAGACCCAAACCCTACGTGACGTGCCCCGTGGGGCTCAGCAGCTCCCGGACCTGCCAGGCCGACATGCATCCCGCCGCACTGCACACCGTCCGATGCCACGGGGTGGGGATGGGGGACAGGACCTGGCTGCACCAGCTGCAGCCCGCGGCGCTCGCACCGAGAGATGCTGGCCTGGGGGGTCCACGAGGGGCGGGACAGGGGTTTCTGGGGCTTACCTCCGGCTCCACCCTATGGTCGGGGCTGGCTGGCAGCTGACCCTGGGGAGAGAAGAGGGGAAACGGGTGAGACCCGAGGTGCCCCGGGAGCTGCCAGGGGGTCTGGCAGCAGGGCATGGCCTGGCTGGGTCAGCGCAGGACCGGGTCAGCCTGGTGGTGCCCCCAGCCCAGGAGACCCCTCATGCCGGCCTCCATCTCCACCCCGCACCCTGTGCTGCGCGATGCAGGAGGCCGAGCGGGTCTGGGGCTCGAGGAAGCAAAGCAAAGAGGACGGGAGCCATGCTGTGGAGACTCAGGAGGCCCTCGGAGAGGCACGGGGGCTGCTGGGACCGCACTGGTGGAAACGTAGCATGCCGGCAGCAATGCTAATGAGGCTGTAACGATTTACTCCCTCAGCTCCCAAGAGGCCAGGCCTAATGGACCGACTCCATCCCGTCCCGCCCCGGCATGCTGCAGCACACGCTCCCCACGCCCGGCTCCGTGCCAGCCGGGAGAGCTGGCGGTGACAGACCAGTGCACCGCACCTCCGCCCGCCTGCCAGCCACACCGGCACTGCCAGGAGAGATAATGAGGCACCGCACGACCCCGCGGCCCCTCACCGCCGAGCGCCGGGCGCCCGCCCCGCCTGAGCCTGTCACAAGCCCGCAATTAGGTGACTAATCGAGCTCCCCGTGCGGCCTGGCTTTGCCAGATGGAGGATCACATCCTAGCGCTGCTGGCGGCTCCCTGCTTGTGGCCCTGCCAGCTGGGGGAGAGGGCCTGGCACGCCGGCGCGTGCGGGGCTACAGAAGCGAGGTGCAGAGACGGCCCCTCCAGCCAGCTGCTGCCGGTGGCTCTGCCAGAGCCACGGGTCTCATGCCTGGTGCTGGAGGGCTGGCACTGGGGTGACTGGTGATGCCGCTTCCCTAGTGCCCGGGGCAGCCTCCTGCAGTGCCTGATCTCCCATCCATGCCGGGGCAGCCTCGGCCCTGCTTCACTTGGGAAAGGCTAGACCAGGGCTGACCAGAAGGATGCGGCTCTGGGCAGCCGGGGGCAGGCAGGCTCCCCTGGGCATCTCCCAGCCCCCGGCACCTCTCGACTCCTGGTGCCCTCCGCGGTCGCTGGACGGGAGCCAGCACGTGGGAACTCAGCCCCCGAGCAGGCTGCTCCGTGCTGCGCTTTGCTGCATAGACACCCTCTCTGCAGAGGGGGGCAGGCCCCGGCGGGACCCCGTGCCACCAGCTCCCCAGACCCTCCTGCGGGCAAGGGGGCGGCGGGGAGCAGGAAGGATCCAGCCCTACCAGTCGCGGCCCAGCTCCCGGGCTTGCCACAAGCCCTTAGCACGGGGCTGTGCTTTATTTATTCCCCCCTCCCGCCCCCCAACCTCTGCAGAAAATAATTATCAGGCTCCCTCATCTCAGGGAAGGATTAAAAGTGGTTAACTCAATTTAGGCAGGCTTTGTTGTGCCGGCTTTCCCCAGGCTGCTGCACAAGGAGATTTCCACACAGCCACTTAGGCGGCTTTTATCAGGTTGTCTTCTGGAGGTAATTGGGTTTTTCAGGAGCCTGCTTAAAATTCCTAACCCGGCCTCTTAAACAAAACAGCAACAGAGATGGGGGGGGGGGGGGG